TAAATAATTAATGAAGCTCAACTTCTCAAAAAACTGTACATGAAGGTGTGTGTTACAGTTGACTTGTTGAAGTCTTAACCTCCTAGTACCTGTGAATGTGACCTTATTTGGAAATAGGGTCTTTGCTGATGATCGAGTTAAGATGAGGTCATTAGGGTGGGCCTCAATCCAATATGACTGGTACCCTTATAAAAAGGGGAAACTTGGACCCAGAGACAGATGTGTATACAGGAAAGCACCAGGTGAAGGTTGGAGTTATGTTGCCACAAGGCAAGGAAACACCAGAAGCTAGGAGAGAAGCCTGGTGTAGATTCACCCCTAGGGCCTTCAGAAAGGACATGGCCCTGCTGACACCTTGATCTTGGACTTCCCAGCCTCCAGAAATGTGACACAATAACTTTCTATTGTTTAAGCCAATCAGATTGTGGTACTTTGTTACAGCAGCCCTGGGAAATGAATACAGTATTTGAAATGATTTTAGCTGATACATGGTTTAACTTTAAAGATGTTAACAGCTATATATTTATATTAATGAACATTAGAAAAAACAGAACAAGTGACTCCAACCTGTGGATTTTAGGCACGTCATTGCTTAGAACTAGACTGATGTGGGTATGTCGCAAGCAAATAGCAGTTTAGTTGACACACGAGGGGCCATGCAGTGGACTGATTGAGAACAGATACTCTGCAGCCAGGTTTTAAACACTGGCTTTACACTTACTGGCTGTGTGACCTTGGACAGATTCCTCAACCTCTCTGTGCCTTGGTTTCCTCTGTATAATAGTGTTGATAATAGCAGTACCTACTGCACGGGGTTGTTTGGGTGATTAAATGCAAGATTAACACGTGTGGTACAAAACACAGCCTGGGAGCTGGTTCAGTGCTTTGTAAGTGCTGGTTCTTCATTTTATTACCCAGAAACGTAAATATTTAGTGATCATGGCCTTCATATGAAGGAGGGAGATCCCAGTGAGCCCAGTAGGACAGCTGGGAAGGGTGCTTGACTGCCACTGTGCTGCTCCCACTCTACCAGGGGCTCTGGAAGTTTCCTGCACAGTGGCACTCTACCCTTGGTTTCATTTCTTTTAACAACTTGGCTTTTTTTTTTTTTTGCGGTACGTGGGCCTCTCACTGTTGTGGCCTCTCCCATTGCGGAGCACAGGCTCTGGACACGCAGGCTCAGGGGCCACGGCTCACGGGCCCAGCCGCTCCGTGGCATGTGGGATCTTCCCGGACCGGGGCACGAACCCGCGTCCCCTGCATCAGCATGGGGGACTCTCAACCACTGCGCCACCAGGGAAGCCCTTAACAACTTGTCTTGGAGGAATTTTCTAAAAAGCCATTTTTAAATTTTTCACATAGAGTGAACACCAGCAGTACAGACTGGAGTCCTGTCAACTCGAGCAGTGGTCAGTGGAGCCAGTCCAGGTGTAGAAGAAACAATGGCTCAGGGCTTGCCCTCCACACTCTCCACCAGCTGACCCTGAGCAAGCACTTGCTCTGAGCCAAATGCTCCTCTAAGCAGTCTATCCGTCCAGTCCTTTAATCCTTATACTGACACTCAGAGGAGAGTCTTACTCTTATCCCTGTTTGGCAGATGGGAGAGTGAGGCCCAGAGAGGTTAAGTAACCTGCCCAAGGTCACAGAGCTGGTAGGTGGACGGGAAGGATTTGTACCAGGTGGTCAGGCTGCAGAGTCTGCCAGGCCTATTTTCTGCCAGGGTTTCTGGGCTGGTGGGCTGTCTCACCACCCTAAGAGCCTTTCTGAGAATGTAGGGCATAAAGGAGAAGCTGTGCCAAGAGGTGGGGAGAGGCAGACTGCTGACATACTTTAATTACTGGGGTCTGGCTGTGCCCAAAGATCACACCACCTTTGAAAGTTCATTTACATGGGTTGATGTAGATGCTTTCCCTTCAATCCACTCTTTTTATCACTTGCTATCTAAAATGCTTTGCCTTGTATTAGTACGGTCTTTTCCCCCCATCAGTTTGGGGCTTGATAAGGGTTAATCAGGGAATGCTTGGGTGCCACCTTAGCCAGACCCCCACTTGCAGCTCTGCCTCAGGGCTCCACCGGCACCCAGAGCCTCCTGAGCCAGAGCACTGGAGTGTCAACACCATCAGGCACAGCCCACAACCCAGGACCGAAGGGAGGGTCCCTCATCCACCCCGGGGTGGGAGCAGGCTTCTGCTCAGCACCGTCCCCTGAGCTCCCCAGCCAGGTGGAGCTCCACTTGCCCAGTGAACTTGCTTGGGGATGAAGCCAGTTTGGGCTCCTCCCCTTTCCTGTCCCCTTCCAGGGACCACCTCCCAACTAGATTACTTGTTCTGGAAACCTTATCTCAGAGTCTGGTTCCCGGGAATCCAAACCAAGACAATATTTACATAGCAGGGAACAAACGCTCAGTAAGTGGAAGGATTGTTATCACTTCCTCCGCCCCCTTCCATCTGCCCTGAGCTGCTGGGAAAGAGCTTCAAGCCTCAGGCCTCATGCACGGAGTGCACTGGTCCAGATCGGTGACTGTTTGGAGTAGGGGTTGCTTCCTGCCACCAGGTCCCTTGGCCCGTCCCTGCAGGAAACAGTCCCTCCAGCTCCTCAGTAAACGTGGATGGAATGTCATGGCCACAGAGGTCACTTGTCTAACAAGGTTGGCTGCCTGGGGCTGGATTTTGCCAAATTCTTAGGACACCAGGATGTCTTGAGCTCTCTGAGGTTCTTTGGATCACAGAAATCAGAAGCAAGTTGCCCTCACAGAGTCACTCCAGCCACTAGTTTGGATCCACAGCATCAGACTGAGATGTTTCATCTGCAGCCTCCAGTGTGTGCAGTCTGCTGGTTAAGGACACAGCAGTGGAGTCACTCCACCAGGGTTTGAGGCCTACATCTGCTGCTTTCCAGCTGTGTGAATCACCTGCTCTGTGCCTCAGTTCCTCATCTGAGAAATGGACACAGTCGGAGAACCCACCTCAAAGCCTGGTGATAAGGATTATAATATATAATTTACTTATACAGTAAGTCCCCTACGTACGAATGAGTTCTATTCCGAGAGTGGGTTCGTAAGTCCAATTTATTCATAAGTCCAACAGAGTTAGCCTAGATACCCAACTAACATAGTCAGCTATGTAGTGTTGTACCGTAATAGGTTTATAATACTTTTCGCACAAATAATACATAAAAAACAAACACAAAAAATAAAGAAAACATTTTTAGGGACTTCCCTGGCAGTCCAGTGGTTAAGACTCTGTGATCCCAATGCAGGGGTTGTGGGTTCAATCGCTGGTTGGGGAATTAAGATCCCACATGCCATGCACGGTGTGGCCAAAAAACAAACAAACAAACAAAAACAACAACCAAACATTTAAAATCTTACAGTACAGTACCTTGAAAAGTACAGTAGTACAGTACAACAGCTGGCATACAGGGGCTGGCATTGAGTGAACAAGCAAGAAGAGTTACTGACTGGAGGAGGGAGAGGAGGTGGGAGATGGTAGAGCTGAAGGATCGTCAGCAATAAGAGACGGAGGGCAAGCTGCAATTTCACTGAAGCCTGACGTTGATGGAATGCATGTTCACACAAGCAAGAAGTTACTGACTGGAGGAGGGAGAGGAGGTGGGAGATGGTAGAGCTGAAGGATCGTCAGCAATAAGAGACGGAGGGCAAGCTGCAATTTCACTGAAGCCTGACGTTGATGGAATGCATGTTCACATCTTTGAAAGTCTGCAACTTGAAGGTTCGTATGTAGGGGACTTACTGCATGTAGATGAGTAAATTTCATATAGAATTTTTATATTTATATATATATATATATATAAGTAAACTATATAATGTATATAAGTAAATGATAAGTAAACACATAGTAAATTGTAATAAATAAAAGTGTACAATGGTGGCTGGCTCATGGTAAGTATTCAATCAATGGACCCCCTCATTTCATTAGAAGGGCAGCACACGGACCTTTCACCATAAACTTCTTTGTACCTTTAGAATGTAGTATCATCTGCATGTGTTGTTACCCATATAAAGTAAGCAAATTCATTTAAAAGTAAAAACAAAAATAAAAAAACAAATTTTCAATTATAACCACATCTTGGTTGTAGACCCAGAAAGTAACTGTGACAGTTAATTTTAGGTGTCCACTCGACTAGGCCATGGGGAGCCCAGCTATTTGGTCAAACATTATTCTGGATGTTTCTGAGAGGGTGTTTGGGGGTGAGATTAACATTTTAATTGACAGAAGAAAACAGACTGTCCTCCATAGTGTGGGTGGGCCTCATCCAATCAGTGGAAGGCCTGAATAAAACAAAAACGTTGATCCTCCCACGAACAAGAGAGAATCCTCCAGCAGACTGCCACCGGATTTCATCTGCAACACTGGCCCTTCCTGCCTGATGGCCTTCGAACTGGAACACTGACTTTTCCTGGGTCTCCAGCCTGCTGACCCATCGTATAGATCGGACTTGGCAGCCTCCATAATTACACGAGCCAATCCCTTACAACAAATTGTTCTCTGGGGGAGGGAAGGACTGGGAGTATGGGGTTAGCAGATGAAAACCATTACATACAGAATGGATGGACAACAAGGTCCTACTGTATAGCACATGGAACTATATTCAATATCCTGGGGTAAACCATAATGGAAAAGAATATATAAAAGAATGTATATATGTGTATAACTGAGTCATTTTGCTGTGCAGCAGAAATTAACACAACATTGTAAATCAACTACACTTCAATAAAAAAAATGAAAAAAAATAAATTTCTCCACCTCTCTCTCTCTCTCTCTCTCTCTCTATATGTATGTATATATATATATGCATATGTATATACACACACAACCTATTGGTTCTGTTTCTCTGGAGACGTTGACCAATAATACATTTGCTAAAGGTCAGCTCAGGCCTCGGGGAGGAGGGTGATGAAGCAAGGACTCCTCCATCACGGCACCCCACTGATCCAAAGCCCAGTCCCAACTGCTCGGGGGTGCGCACAGAACTCTTACTTGAGCATGCCCTCTCCTGGTCTGGGAACACGGTCAGGGGCTGGGGGCTCAGGTTTGGCTCAGGTTTGCTGGGAATGAAGACCTCAGCGTTGTCCTTCCGCTTAGCAGACAAATTCCTTTCCTTTTTATTACCTGTAAAAACACAATAGTTTATATGTCAAACACTGAGCGCAGGCAGATTTGGGAAATTCTGCTGCAGCATCTGTTTATTTGTGCGTTCACTTATTCATTCACCAAATATTGATGGAATCCCTGCTCTGTGCCAGGCACCATGCTAGTTTCGGATTTGTTGCAGACAACAAAACAAGTTTGCTGAGAGCCGTTATGTGCCAAGTACCACATTTTGGTAAATAAGTGAATTCTTCTAGGACACACACAGGTTTTCAAGTTTTAACATTTCTGAATAGGGACAAGTCTTATAAACAATGGGGTACTGGGTTTAATTGGCAGCAAGATACATAAAATAATGATGTAACCAAGGATATGCAAGAGCAGGAAAAGTATAGTAGGACATGTTTGCTGCCCTTGAGGCACATTCTCGCCGAGGAAAAGGATGGTTGAATGGATAAGAGAGCAGGGCTGGCACAGAAGAAGGGATCCAGTACCAGGGTCACAGAGGAGCATGCAGCCTGGAGGACGGGGCTGGCAGGTGTGCAGCCGACAGTGAAGAGAACACTTACAGATGACCGGGGTGTCTCCAGGGCACAGAACAGGGGGGCATTCAGACACAGGGAACAGTGTGTGTGAAGGCTTGAGAGCTGACATGCGTGTGGCAGGTGAGTGGCTAGGGTCTGGGCCGGCGAGAGGAGCCAGACAGTGAAGGGCCCACGGGCCATGATTTATAGTCAGTGTTTCCCAAAGTGGGGTGCCTGGACCACTGGTGAAACAGGTGATGACTGGGACTTCCCTGGTGGCTCAGTGGATAAGAATCCACCTGCCAAAGCAGGGCACATGGGTTTGATCCCTGGTCCGGGAAGATCCCACATGCCGCGGAACAACTAAGCCCGTGCGCCACAAGTACTGAGCCTGTGCTCTAGAGCCCGCGAGCCACAACTACTGAGCCCATGTGCCACAACTACTGAAGGCTGTGTGCCTAGAGCCCGTGCTTTGCAACAAGAGAAGCCACCACAATGAGAAGCCCGTGCACTGCAACGAAGAGTAGCTCCCGCTCGCCGCAACTAGAGAAAGCCGGCGCGCCACAATGAAGACCCAACGCTGCCAAAAATAAATAATATTTAAAAAAAGAAAGCAATTATCTATCTTAATGTGTCTGGAAAAAAAATAAGCAACCAGTATCTCCAACCTTGATTTCATGTATATTATTGTGTGGAACAATCCTAGAATTACGAAAGAAAAGAAAGGAGTGAGGAAGGAAGGGGTGAGGGGGTGGAGAGAAAAGGAAAGAAGGAAAGAAGAAAGGTGACTGGTTTAAATAACAGTTAAAAAATAGCACGAGTGGTCTGTGAATTTGGCAAAAAAAAAAAAAAAAAAATTGTGAAGAAGGTTTGCAAATGGCACAAGTCTGGGAAAAGTGGCTCCAGGCAGGAAAGCAGCCCAGGGGGAAGCGAGGCAGGTGGCTAAATGGAATGAAGATAAAAAGCAGGGAGAAGGGCTAGGTCCCTGGACTTGGGAACCTCCAGCCTGGGAAGGCAGAAAACCTGGGAAGTGTCTGCTCAAATTCAAAGGAAATTCTGGGGCCTGTGGTGGCCCAAAGGAGGGAAGCCCCAGAATCAAGGGCGCTATGGGATTCTTGGGAGCTCAGGGTAGATGTTGGGGATGAGTGTGGGGTCTGTCTGACTTGCACTAACCTCTCTGCTATCCCCCCTTGACTTTGCAAAGGACACGTGTTTCTCTACACTTTCCCAAGTGGCTGCTCCCTGGTTGGCCTGATATCCAGGGCCCAAGGGCAGACCTGTGTGTGAGCGAGAAGCCACCATGTCCAACGGGACAAGACAAAGAATGGAGAGGGGCCAATGCCCAAATGGAGATTGGCTGTCTAAGTGCTGAAAATATGCTGATGATGGTAAGAACGACAGCCAGCATGTATTCAGTTCAGCCTCCTGAGTGCCCAGGCACCGGGGCAGGTCCTTGGCACACACTGTCTCATGTGTTTCCCCAGCCACCCTAGTGGGTGGAGGGCAGGTAGAATAATGGACCTCAAAAATGGCCACATCCTAATTTCCGGAAGCTGTGAATGTGTTAGGCTACAAGGCAAAGGGGAATTGACTGTGCTCATCGGCTGACCTTAAACTAGGGAGGTTATTTTGGATTATTCTGCTGGACCCAATGTAATCACAAGGGTTCTTAAAAGTGGAAGAGGGAGGGACAGAGTTTCAGTTTGGGATGATGAAAAACTTCTGGTGATAGATGATAGTGGTGATGGTTACACAACAATGTGAGTGTACTTTGTGACACCAAATTGTGCTCTTAAAAAGGGTGAAGACGGTAAATTCTATGTTATGTATACTTTGCCACAATAAAACACATGTGTGTGAGCAGCACACAGGTGGAAAAGTGCTGCAGAAGAGGAAGATCAAAGGGAGACGTCACTATAGAAGAAAAGCACAGAGAGATGCAACGTTGCCAGCTTGGAAGGCGGCCAGGAGCCAAGGTATGTGACAGCCTCTAGAAGCTGGAAAAGGCAAGGAAACACATTTTCCCCTAGAGCTTCCATAAGGAGCATAGCCTTGCTGACACTGTGATTTTAGCTCAGTGAGACTCATGTCAAACTCCTGACCCATAGAACTATAAGATAAAAAGTTGGTATTGTTTTAAGCCACCAAGTTTGGGCTAATTTGTTATAGCGGCGGTAGAAAACCAATACATACTATTGCAGAGTAAGGCTCTGAGGTTCAAGTCGTTTGTCCAACAACACAGAGCTAGGAAGTGAGGGAATCAGGATTTGACCAGGCCTGCCTGGCTCAGAGCCCTGCCCTTAACCACTTTATTCCTCTCTCCTCCAATTTATGGCTCCCTCCTCTCCTTAAGACTGCCCTCCAGCAACTCTGGTGGAGGTCTGCCTTGGCCATCAAAAGTCTATACAAGGATATTTCTTAGCGCACCAAAGGACCCAGACTCTTGGTGCAATCCTAAAACCATCAGGTCTTCATGGAAAGTGGCCTGGGTTCACTCATTTTCTACCACCCTCCCCCTCCCCCCGGCCCCGACTCACTCGGCTGCAGCCATACTGGCACTTTCTCTATACTTGGGTACACCAAGCTCTTTCACTCTCCAAGCCCTTTGTGCTTTCTGATCCCTGGACCTGGATTGCTGTTTCCATGACTGCTTTCTCTTCCTTATTCCTGTCCCAGCTTAAACATCACCTCTTCTGAGAAGGCTTTTCTGACCATTCCAGCTACTAGCATCCTTCTCTGACCCCCATCGCCCAACCAGTGTCCTGTTTTATAATCTTCACAACTTTCAAGACCATCAGGGTACCAATCTCTCCTCCTCCCTGAATTCCTAACCCATGACCCAGCCCTCCCCTTTCCAGTTAATAGAAAAATAACTTCTGCCTTTCTCTGTGCCGCTCATTCACTGCCCCTTGCTCACAAGGAGGACAAATGGGATGGGAGAGAGTGGGGGCAGGAAGCCATCGGGGCTCAGCCCAGGCCTTCCTTCTTCCCTCTTCTGTGGGCTGGGGTGCGGTGGGGGTGCCGTCAGGTCACATGGCCCCCTTCCACCACGCTGATGCCACCAGTGGTCCAGCTCTGCCAACATCTGGGGTCAGGGGTCAGTCTACTGCAGAGGGGCAGTACTTTCAGTTGGAGAGGTAATCATTTGCTCACCTTCCATCCATGATCATTTCTCATTTGTTTCACAATTTAGAAGGGAAAGCAGAGCGGGGTGGGATCACTTACTGGCTCCTCAAAGCCCAATTATCACTTTGTAACTTCATCTGGTTTATTTATTCAGCCTAAAGATTAAGAGCGCAGGCTCTGGGCTCAGACTGCTGCAGATTCAATTCCACTCTGCCCTTTCCTAGCTGTGTGACCTTGGGCAAGTTATTTGACCTCTCTGTGCTTCAGTTTCCCCTCTGTAAAACAAGTACAATGACAGGACTTTCCTTGGGGTTGAGATTTAATGTGCGGGTGAGGATTTAATGAGGGACATAAGTAAAGCCCTTGGAATAGCTCTTGGCTCATATTAATAACAACTTGGTAAGTGTTGGCAATTATTATTTATGTAGTTATGTGCTTATTGTCTGTTTTCCCTGCTAGGATTAAATGACGTAGAATGAGTGGGCCCATCTTGTCCCAGCACAGTGCCTGGGGCATGATGCGTGCCCAGTGCATGAATGAACAGCCCAGAACCAAGCACATCTTTTCAGGTTACTGCTGACTGTGCTTGAGTAAACACTCAGGACTATCTCAGAACTCCAATCCCATGCTGGGGTCTGGGGAGACCTTGTAACAGGCTCCTCAGCCTCCTTCTTCCTCCCCTTGGTGGGAGCCTGTCTCCTGCTGGGGCCGAGAAGCCAGCCAGGGGCTGCAGATGAAAGGGGCAGCTGAGAGCGGCGGTAGGGGGTGTTCATGCCGCCCTCGTGTACTGCAGACTGGGCACCCACCGCCTTCAGCAGACATCACCAGGGTCAACTCGGGGCCTGCCGAGCAAATCTAATTGTTAAAAAATGTAAAATGGCAAGAAAGTGAAGTTCTCTCCTTTAGCTTTATGCCCAGTATCACTATTAAACTGCCTGGGGTCCAATTGCTCCCCCTCTGTGGCCTGGTCCTCCACACCAGGAAGTGACTGTCATACCCACTCCCACCTCCATCCCCGCCACACCCCCGTTTCCAGGGCAGGGGCCCAGTCAACCCCCTCACAGCACTTCCCTTCCCCTTGGAGGAAACACAATCCACAGCAGTGATGCAGCCCCAGTGGGTCTCATTCAGAAGGGTATGTTCATTGCCGTGACCACCAGATGCTTTAGCAGGTGAGCATAGTCCTTCATTTATTTTAAAGATTTCCCGAATGGCTTGAATGTGCCAGGTGAAGGCTGCAAGCTGGGGATGCCACAGAGGGGAAGAGCTGGCCTGTGCCCTGGCAGAGCTCACAGGCCGGAGGGAGAGAAAGGCAACTGCCAGCATTGAGACTAGTGTCATGATGATGCTACAGGAGCAGAGCAGGCACTGACCTAGCTGGCCAGGCTGGGAGTGCCAAGAAGGCTTCCTGGAGGAAGCAGCCTCTGAGCTGAGTCTCGGGGAAAAAGCAGGGAGCCAGGTTTCATGGGTCAGAGTGGAGCAGAAAGGAAATGTGGTGATCTAGGTGGAGGGAACAGCCCAGCAAGGAGGTGAGAGCATGTCGGAGGGACAAATGTTCTCTTCGCTGGAGACATCAACCGTGGGGTGTAGATTTTCCAGAGCTGCCTGTTATTATGTCCCCCGAGACTCATAGGTTCAAGTCCTAACCCCCAGTACCTCAGAGTGTGGCTGTATTTGGAGATAGGGTCACTAGAGAGGTAGTTAAGGTGAAATGAGGCCTTTAGAATGTGTGCGAAGCCAACATGACTGGTGTCCTTATAATAAGAGGAGATTAGGACACAGGGACACAGAGGGAAGACCATGTGAGGACACAGGGAGAAGGTAGCCACCTGCAAGCCAAGGACAGAGGCCTCAGACGACACCAAAGCTTGCCGAAGCCCTGATCTTGGACCTCTAGCCTCCGGAACTGTGAAAAAATTTACATTTCCGTGGCTGTTGATGCCACCCCTGGTCTGTGTACTTTGTTACGGCAGCCTGGGCAGACGAATATACTCACTGCCTGATTTCAAACATTCCCTCATTTCTCCTTCCTTAGGTTCACTCATGCTTCCCCATTGGTTGGTCTTGGTATTTGGTTCAGGAAATACGGCACCTCCAGCTTTGGGGAGAATGCCATAACCGTAACCCTCCTGCCACCCACCAATTGTTCTGTTGACTCTACCTTCTAGGGTGATTTCTGAAAAACCTTCTCCAGTGGACAATTGCTGTTGGTGCCCAGCTTCTCCTTCAGATTCACCTTAATTTTCCTTTGGAAACTACTATCTCCGTCCATGTGGTTTGGGTGGCGATAACCACACCCCCAGTCCTGTTGGCCGGACCTGGCCAATCAGAGCCACGGTGACTAGTTCAGAGATGTGACCCCACGTGGGTTCAAGAGCCAAGTCTGGGACTTCTGCTGGAGCTTTTAGGAAGAGAAATCCACTTTCTGATGGAGTTGCAAAGCCACTGTCTCAATTCTGCGTCTAGATGTGGAAAGCCCACTTGAGAACGATGCCAAGACAAAAGAAGGAAGACAGAAGAGGAAGAAAAGGAAGAAGGGGAGGGAAGGGGAGGGGAGGGGAACGGAAATGAGTCATACTGCAGCCCTGGACTCCTCAGTTATCCAAGTCAGTAAACAGTCCCTTTTGCTCAAGTCAGTTTCACTAGCCAGTTGCCGCATAGATGCTGGTAAACTTCCTACAATGCACAGGACAGCCCCCTACAACTATCTGCCAGACGTTTACCATCTGGAATTTCAGGGTCATCTGTAAGCTTCTGGGAGCCTTCCCCTCTTGCAATCAGCAGAGACCTGACTGATATATACCCCGGCCTGTGAGATGGTCTACCCAAAGCTGAATTCAAAGTACCACTGGAAATTTAAGTCCCATTATTAGATCCAGAGACATCAAAGCCAAAGAAATGCCACAGAAGACAGAGCTTACTTTTGGAAGCTGGGTTAAATTCTAGTACTACGAGGGTGTCTGGGAGCTGGGGAGGGCGTCCTTCTGTCTCCTGGTCCTCGGAAACATTCTTCTGCACGGAGTCCCCACTGGGAAGAGGGGAGTAATCTCTAGGACGACCCACCAGCACCTGGTCCTCGGGCTCCGGCTCAGAGAGTACATCCTCTTCGATAGAGTCATACTCATCACTCGAACCACCCTTTTCTTTCCTTTGTAGGTTGACACTAAGTTCCAGGCTTTTTCTTAGCTCCTGCCAAAAGTCAAGAAGAGAAGTGAAAAATGAAATATGTTCCTTTGAGGAAAAACTCTTTTGCAAATAGATCATTAGAATCAAAGAACTATTCCCATGAAACTAACATTTACCAAAACCGTCTCAACCCATGTGTTATCCTCACTTTGAGGATGAGGAAACAAAGGGGCAGGGACAAATAAGAAACTCTCCTCTGGATGGAGCAGAGTTTAGTTTTATAGTATTAATTGTGGTTTTCTGTAGCTGCAAATTTTTTCATACGTCTTCTGCCTCTAAGAGATTGTAGATTTACAATCTTAAGACCAAGCATTAAGCTATACTTACAGTGATCAAAAAATTTATCACTGAAGCCAGGATACTTTGAATTTATTTATTTATTTATTTTTGGCGGCACTGGGTCTTCGTTTTTGCGCACAGGCTTTTCTCTAAGTCATGGAAAGCGGAGAGTGGGGGCTACTCTTTGTTGCGATGTGCGGGCTTCTCATCGCGGTGGCTTCTCTTGTTGAGGAGCATGGGCTCTAGGCACGCGGGCTCCAGTAGTTGTGGCTCACGGGCTCAGCAGTTGTGGCTCACGGGCTCTAGAGCGCAGGCTCAGTAGTTGTGGTACACGGGCTTAGCTGCTCCACGGCATGTGGGTGGGGATCTTCCCGGATCAGGGCTCGAACCCGTGTCCCCTGCATTGGCAGGCGGATTCTTAACCACTGCACCACCAGGGAAGTCCCCAGGATACTTTGGAAGGGGAATAAAGGCACTACTACATTTACACTGGGACGAAAGTGTACACTGGACTGTCTGGGGAAACCAGTATGTTTGGTTAGGCTCACTATGCTATCCCTGTAGCCCTTGTAGTAACTAACACAGTTGTGACAGCGTGAGAAGCAATCAAGTTTACGGTTGACCATAAACTTAATAGTTGTGTGGTAGGCTGAATAATGATTCCCCAAAGATGTCCAAGTCCTTATTCCTGGACCCACTGAATTAGTGAGGGCTCATGTACAAGTGAGAAGCATCACATAGAAAACTTTGATCATCTTAGACAAATCATCCTAAAAAGCCCAATGATAGAAATACGGACATCAAAGGTGCTGCTGGTGAGGGCTCAGGAAATAAGGAACATGTTATTGGGAACTAGAGGACAGAAAATCCTGTTATGTGGCAGCAGAATCTTAGCCAAACTGTGTCCTATAGTTATATGGTAAGAGGAACTTGTAAATGACGAACTTGGATATTTAGCTCAAGAGAGTTCCAAGCAAAGTGTTAAAGATACAGCCTGGTTCCTTCTTGCTGCTTGGAGTAAAATGCTATAGGAAAGGGACAGACTGAGAGAACTGTTAAGTAAAAAGAACTGGGAGTTGATGATTTGGGAAGCTCTCAGCCTACTGCAAAAGATGCTAAAAAAAAGCATGAAAAAGCCAGGAAAGTGTGCTCTGGAGAAAAAAATGAAGGGTGTGGCTGCACAACCTTTTGCCAAAACCTCAGAAGGATCTACAGTTTAGAGCAGCGGTCCCCAACCCCCGGTCCATGGACCAGTACCAGTCTGCGGCCTGTTAGGTGAGGTGAGCAGCGGGCCGGCAAGCAAAGCTTCACCTGCCATCCCCATCGCTCACATTACTGCCTGAACCATCACCCCACCCCGTCCGTGGAAAAACTGTCTTCCACGAAACCGGTCCCTTGTGCCAAAAAGGTTGGGGACCGCTGGTTTAGAGTATTCAATCACTCTGAGGGCTCTTTGAAGAGATTAGACATGTGACTCATGAATCCCCTTAGACATCTCAGCAGAAGCCAGGAAAAGAGATGGGATTATCCAGGAAAGATTTGTGGAGGAGCCTCTTGTCTAATGGAGTGAATCCTAGAGACATATAGAGGAGATGCACATGGTTTTTGAGACTGTTATACCAGCAGAAACACTGCCAGCTTGGACTCAGTGGGAGAGAGAAAGGACAAAATGAAAGAAAGCTGACAGGCTCCCAAAATTCTACAGGCAGGAAACAGATTAATAAAACTATGTAGGTGCAAACACATGCTACCCTTCATGAAAGAGGAAGAATGACTCCCAGGGTGCAGCCATGGGCCCAGAGGGCAGAATCCTGAGCCACAGAGAATTATTCCTGTGCCTTGAAACCTAATGGAGTTTGCCCAGTTGGATTTCAAAATTGCTTGGGTTTGGTGACTCCTTTTTCCCTTTAATTTTCTGTCTATTGTAATGAGAATGTCTATAGCTGTTATCCTGTGCCTGACCCATCACTGTATTTGGGAGCAGATAACTTGTTTTCTAGTTTTAAAAGTTCACAGGGGGAGAGAAATTTTGCCCTAAGATGAGTAATACCCATAGACTCACCCCTAGCTAATTTAGATATAGATAATGAGCTTTGGGAGTTTTGAGCAGATGAGACTTAAATGATATTTTGCACTTAAGTTGCTACTGTAATGGGTTGAGACTTTTGGGAAACTTGGGATGGGATGGAAGTATTCTGCATGTGTGGTGGACATGAATCTTTGGGGGCCCGAGAGCAGACTGTTGTGGGCCCCAAAGATGTCCATGTTCTAATCACCTTGGATGGTGAATATTACATGGCAAAGGGACCTTGCAGATGTGATTAACAATCTTGAGATGGGGGATATTATCTTGGATATCTAGAGGGGCCTATGTAATCACAAGGGTCCTTCTAAGAGGGAGGCAGGAAGATCAGAATCAGAAAGACAAGATATAAGGGTGGAAGCAGAGGTTAGGGAGGAGAGAAGATGCTGCCCTGCTGGCCTTGAAGGAGGAAAGGGCACAAGCCAAGGAATGTAGGTGGCCTCTAGATGTTGGAAAAGGCGAGGAATTGGATTCTCCTGTAGGGCCTCTAGAAGGAACATAGGTCTGCTGACATCTTGATTTTAGACCAATGAAACTGAATTTGGATTTCTGAGCTCCAGAACTGTAAGATAAACCATTAAGTTTGTGGTAAGTTGTCATGGCAGCAATAAGAAACTTTTGTTTTGTTTTGTTTTGGTTTTGGTTTTTTTAGACATGCCTCACAGCTTGTGGGATCTTAGTTCCCTGACCAGGGATTGAACCCCGGCCCCTGGCAGTGGAAGCACTGAGTCTTAACCATTGGACCACCAGTGAATTCCCCAGGAAACTAATATAGCTATCGATCTTTTATAGCTCTCTCCCTCCCACCCTGCCCAATATCAAGTATCAGTGATATTTATTGAGCAAATAGAACACTGCCTGGCACATAGTAGGTGCTTGACAAATACGTGCTGAATGACTAATTTATGTCAGTGACTGGGTAGAAGCTGTAAGCAGGGGTGGAGAGCACCCACCTGCCTTGGCGGTGGCATTAGTGATGTGACTCTTAGAAAGTTACTTAACTTCTCTGATCTGCATTTTGCCACCCATGAAAATGGGTTAACGAATCCCAACCTCACTGAATTGTTTTATTAAAGTAGTGGTGTGAACTGGGGATGATTTTGTCCCCCTCTCCAGGGGACATTTGGCAATTATTTGGAGATGTTTTTGGTCAGAACTGGGGGAAAGGAATGCTAGCGGCATCTGGTAGGTGGAGGCCAGGGATGCTGCTAAACATCCTAGAATGTACAGGACAGTTCCCACAACAAAGAATTATCTGGGCAAATGTCAATAGTGGTGCGGGTGAAAAACCCTATATTAAAGTGAGCACGTATTCACCAATGGCTTTTCAAAAGATAATAGCAAGGCCTTCTAGTTGAGTGTATTGACGTGATCCATGCAACCTTCACGGAAGCCAGATTGAAGCCATGGCTCGTGTCTTCAAAGTCTGACTGTGGTCGGCAGTTGGAGGGCGAACAGGTTTACTGCTCCTCCGTGGGGAAACATGAGTTCCTAGGTGGCCTGCTGTTTAACAGCAACTGCAGTGCCTGTAAAGCTAGTAATCCTTTACAGCGGAATAATGTTCTGTACCTTACAAAACATTTTCAACTCCCTCCCCCATTTGATCCTCACAATGACCCTGCAGCATAGATGGGTGGAGTGCAACTTGCTTTGGTGATAACGTGAACTCCGGCCACAGCAGGATAAGCAGCTGGTCCCGGTTCCTGGTCCACCCCACCCATCTCAGATGGGGTCATCTTCAGTTCTCTGTTCTGCAGGGGTGGAGGCAAGGCTAGGTGAGAAAACAGGGGGCAAACCCGGTATTCTCACCCAGTCACGGTGGAAAAAAATGATAAAAGCGATGCCAGCTAAACTGGGAGATTCCCAGCTGGGAGACTGCTCTGACTGTCCAGGAGATCTTGGTCAGTCCCAGGGCCCAGAATTCTCCCCACTGATGCCTAAGGCCAAGTGGAGCTACCACCCACTGCCAGTTCCAGGCAATAGCTGGATGAGGCATTAGGATTCTAGAACCCACGGTCAGTTGAGCAGGTTCCCTCCAGACTCTTCATCACCTTCACCTTGTGGTAGTCCCATATTTTAAGTGACTGAATTTCTGGAGTCCCCACAAGTCGGAGGACTGAGGCCTAGAGCCTTTAAGCTGGTCCGACCTGTCACAATGATTAAGTGGCAGAGTCGTGACGTGTGCCCTCAGCCATAGCTCCCTGCTCCTTCTAGACGATCCAAGTGTAAAACAGACTCGCTTTTGTGGTCCAACCAATGGGCAACTATTATCATGCATTTATTCACACATGCAGGCGTGTCACAGATGCTTCGCTGAGGGCTGAGGTAATGGTGGGGAGTAAGATGGTGAAGCTTCGGGCAATCAGTGCACAAAGAAAAAGAATCAGGGGCATTTCAGATGTGGCCAGGACTGGGAAGGAAAGAGCCTGCCTGCATGACGTAACCAAGAGTGAGTGGGCTGAGGGCAGCCCTGTTGAAAGCTGGTCACGGAATGCTGGGTGATAAAGAAACGCCCAGTGAATGTCTGGGGCACAAGGTGTGTCAGGAGGAACAGCAGAGGCAAAAGCCTGGAGGCAGCAATGGCTGGAGGGCAGCGGGTACCAAACACACTGGGAGGGGAGGGCGGGGAGCAGGAAGGGGG